AATTTGATCCGAGGAGAGCACAAGAAATTCAAAAAAAATTCGAAAAAAAAATGGAAAAAAATTCGGGGGAGCGGGGGCGATTTCGGACGACGCTGTTGAAGGATAGCAGAAGGCGCGGGTGGGCGCGAGGGGTGGGCGTGGGGCAGGGCGTGGGTGGGTGCAAGGGCGGGGGGCAGGTGGGGGGGGCGCGGGTGGGGGGCGTGGGTGGGGGGGGGCGCTGGGGCGCGGGGGTGGGTTGAGGGTGAGGTGGTCTCGAGGGCGAGATGGTCTCGAGCGCAAGGTCAGGTCATTAGCACTAGGTGTGAAAAGGAGCCACTCAGCCGCAGCCCTTTCAGTAGGAGCCATACTGTGGGAGCCACTCTGTAGAATGAGCCACTGAGCCGCCTTCATCCACTTATATTATATATATATATATATATATTATATATATATATATATTATATATATATATATAATATATATATATATATATATATATATATATATAATATTTATATATATATTATATATTATTATATATATATACACACACACATGCAGATAAAACATTGACTTACCGCACGGTTTAAGAAAATTAGTTGCAAAGAGAAAGTCAGCCCACAAAAATCTCGGCAGTTTTGTATAAGAGTTCTGTCAACATAGCCAATCATAGGTCCATACAGCACATGTCTGGCTATTGTGGGCCAGGACAGCCCGGTGAGGGCAATTGGTGGGCTAACCTGCTCAGGAATACAAACAGTATGTTAAGTCATGGCAAATGTAGTTAATTAAAGTAACATATTTTATAAATTACATAAGAACGTATGATAAGAAGGTACACTGCGGCAGGCCTACTGGCCCATGCAAGGTAGGCCAACAACCAGTGTCATAATGTCAGTGTGTCATGAACACTGAAATATTTGCTGATGTCACTCCTCCTATTCCTCAGACACTACATTACCCTCACAGGTTTATTGCTTGCTATGTTTATAATAATAGAATATTTCATAACTATTAGTTTTCTGTGTAATAATCTCAAAATAATGCTCTAGTTAAACTAATTACTATTTGAGAATTTATTTTTCTCTGTGACTTGTCTAAAATACTTGAAAACCAGCATGTTGAAGCCACTGTTACCAAGCACCATGGCTTCTTGTTGTGTTTTAGAATCTCAGGTTCAAGTGTTGAAGGAGGTTCTACTTCTTCAGGAGGCTGAAGCTTCGCATAGATGGTTTGGGAGAGCGAGATGGATTTAGCTGGTAAGGAGGAAATGGTCACCAGCATGTGATAGTGGCAAGTGGTTCACAGTTCAGAAGAAGATAAGGAGGGTTAACAGAGAAAATGTGAAAATAGGAAATCTATTCTCTGTTCTCCAGGATGAGTGTACTTCAGTGGTTAGTGAGGTTGAAGGTACCGCTGGTTCCCCTGCTAATTTAAAATATGAATATTCTAATTGTTGGATATTCTCAGGTAAGATAGAAAGGTCAGACAGAGAATGTGTCTCCCAGAAGCTGATGTTGGTGACATAGTCAGCAGGTTGGATAATATTATGTCAGGTAATGGGAACATGCCCCTTATCTGTCTTTGTGCTGGGGGTAATGACACTGGGAAGGGCAGAAGACAGGAGAGCTGCTGGATAAGTACAGGTCAGCCATAGAAGTGGTCAGGTCTAAGGGAGGGATCCCAGTCATATGTAGCATCTTGCCTAGAAAGGGGAGTGAGTGGGGCAATGAATGGATGTCTAGGGCAATTGGTATAAATTGCTGGCTAGACAGGTACTACAAGGAACTTGCAATCCCATTCACTGATAACTGGGACAAATTCTATGGCAAACGTGATATGTATGAAGGGATGGGGGCTCGTCTCTCTGGGGCTGGAGTGGTTGCATTAGCCAATTCGAAGTGAGGGGGTTAATTAATTGATGACTGTCTTGGAGTGTAAACTGATAGATTATAGAGGTATGGGTGTTTGGGGGAAACAATCAGGCTGCAGTATTAAGGTTGAAACAGCAGATATTACCAGGATACCTCAGGGATATGTTTAAAAGAAAATATTCAAAATAAAGTTGCATGTAAAGGCAAATCAATTCATCAACAAACAAAGGGATAGTAGAGGGTAACCTGTGACTAGCTCCCTTAAGGTTTACTATACAAATAATAGGAGTGTAAGAAATAAGACAGATGAGCTAAGATTACTTGCAAGTGCAGGTAATATAGATATTATTGCTATAACTATGTACTGTGCCAAAACAAAAGCATTCACATTGCTAAACTCACAAACTAGTCGTCAACATGACTTAAGAAATCGTAATGACACGATTGCAAATAAACCATACCCCCGGCCGGGATTGAACCCGCGGTCATAGAGTCTCAAAACTCCAGCCCGTCGCGCTAGCCACTAGACCAGCTAAATTTGGGTGAATCTTATTGTGGCTAGCTGGTCTAGTGGCTAGCGCGACGGGCTGGAGTTTTGAGACTCTATGACCGCGGGTTCAATCCCGGCCGGGGGTATGGTTTATTTGCAATCGTGTCATTACGATTTCTTAAGTCATGTTGACGGCAGTGAAGGGACTTGAGCTAGAGTTCGTCACGGCCACGCTAGCTGGAGATTCGTCTGTAAAAACTTGCATTTGTGGTCACAGAGGTGCCTGTGCTAACTTTCCTATGGTGTAGAAATATACCTAGTTGGATGAATCTTATTGTGGCTAGCTGGTCTAGTGGCTAGCGCGACGGGCTGGAGTTTTGAGACTCTATGACCGCGGGTTCAATCCCGGCCGGGGGTATGGTTCACAACTAGTATTTAGTCACTTAGCCATAATACCAACTTACCTCATAATTTGTAATATTTTACAATTAAGAATAAAACTAAGTATGCCCGAAATGCCTAGCCATGCTAAGCGTTGCTAGTGGTACACTCTGTAATGCCTAGCCATGCTAGGTGTTCTAGTGGTACACTCTGTAATCACAATTTTACTACATGTAAACCAAACAATAACCAAATTTCTGTAAACTCAGCATTGTAATCCTTATAGAGAATAAACTTTGAATTTGAATTTGAAATTTGAATAATAGACTGGTTCAACCTGAAAGATAGAGAAATGTTTTCTGAATGCAACATACAGGGTTATAAATTCTTCCATACTGATAGAGTCAACAGGAAGGGTGGTGGAGTGGCGATGTATGTCAGAGATAATTTAAATTGTTGTCTTAGACATGATATATGATTATAAACATCAGGCACAGAATCCCGTTTGGCTACAGTTTCTCGAGGGTCATGACAAATTAATTTTGGGTGTGATTTATAGGTCCCCAAACCTTGATAGGGAGTGCAGTAAGCTGTTATGGGATGAAATTCATAAGGCATCTAGATATGAAAATGTTGTGTTAATGGGAGATTTTAGCTTTAGACAAATGACTGGAACAATACAACAGGAAATCTTGAGTCCATTTGACTTTCTTGATACGGTTCAGGATTGCTTTTTAGAACAGGTTGTGACAGAACCAACTAGAGGAAACAATCTGCTTGACTTGGTTCTTGCCAACTAAGATACACTAATTAATAATCTTGAAGTTAATGATGAGCTTGGGGGAAAGTGATCACAAATCACTTAGTTTCAATATATCATGGAATTACCCAGATAACTGCAATCAAATTTCTGTCCCAGATTTTCGCTTGGCCGATTTCATGGGATTGAGAAATTACCTGGGTGGGCTAAATTGGGATGTCCTGACTATGGGTCAGGTAGGTGATTTTGGTTGCCAATATGACGTATTTCAGAGCATAGTTCTAGCTGCCCAGAACAAACTTTTGTTCCGAGTAGGAAAATTAGAATCTAACAAAATTATCCCAGATGGATGAACAATAGATTAAAATATCTCACTGGTCAAAAGAGACGTATATATATGCATGTCAAAAGAGAGGATGGGCAGTTAAGAAATCATTATATCCAATTTAAGAGAGAAATAAAACAAAGGAATAAAAACAAAAAGGGATTATGAGGCTAAGGTCTCAAGGGATTTGAAGACTAACCCAAAAGTAACTCGGGTCAGATCACTGACAGTGATAAATAAGGATGTGTGTGAATTTTTCAGTACTTCCTCTCAGCTTTTACCCAGGTAAATACTAGCGAAATTCTAAAATAATATTTTATGCAGAACAGGACGATGATAAACTATGCATGTAACTAGTGCATCATCACTGACATGGTCCTCAGACAAATAGAGAAATTAAAATCTAACAAATCCCCAGGGCCCTGATGAACTGTTTGCAAGGGTGTTAAAGGAATGTAAAGAGGAACTTGGCATTACCTTTGGCTAATCTTTTTAACATATCACTACAAACTGGCATAGTGCCTGAAAGTGGAAAATGGCAAATGTATTACCTATTTACAAGGCAGGTGACAGGTCCTTGGCTTCGAACTATAGACCAATAAGCCTTACCTCCACAGTGGGGGAAAAATTTTTGGAACCAATAATTGCCGAAGCAATTCGTAGTCATCTTGATAGGCATAAATTGATTAATGAATCTCAGCATGGTTTTACAAAGGGACGTTCCTGTCTTAACGAATTTACTAACTTTTTTCACTAAGGTGTTTGAGGAGGTAGATCATGGTAATGAATATGATATTGTGTATATGGACTTCAGTAAGGCTTTCGATAGAGTTCCACATCAGAGGCTATTGACGAATAAAGGGGGAGAAATTTTTTTCCTGGGTAGAGGCATGGCTGACAAATAGGCAGCAGAGAGTTTGCATAAATGGGGGGAAATCAGAATGGGGGCACGTCACAAGTGATGTTCCGCAGGGTCAGTGTTGGGCCCGTTGTTGTTCACAATTTACATAAATGACATCATGAGGGAATAAAATAGTGACATAAGCAAATTTGTTGATGACACCAAAATAGGCCGGCCAATTCACTCTAATGAGGACATTAGTGCACTCCAGGTGATTTGAATAGACTGATGCAATGGTCGGAGAAGTGGCAGATGCAGTTTAATATAGACAAATGCAAAGTTCTAAATGTTGGATAGGAAAATAACCATGCCACAAACTAAATAATGTAGATTTTTAATACTACTGATTGCGAAAAGGATTTAGGAGTTCTGGTTAGCAGTAATCTAAAACCAAGACAACAGTGCAGTAGTGTTCGCAATAAAGCTAACAGGATCCTTGGTTTCATATCTTGAAGTATAAATAATAGAAGTCCTCAGGTTGTTCTTCAGCTCTATATATCCTTGGTTAGGCCTCATTTAGATTATGCTGCTCAGTTCTGGTCACCGTATTACAGAATGGATATAATGCTCTGGAAAACGTACAGAGGAGGGATGACAAAGATGATCCCATGTATCAAAAATCTTCCCTATGAGGATAGACTGAGGGCTCTGAATCTGCACTCTCTCGAAAGGCGTAGAATTAGGGGGGATATGATCGAGGTGTATAAATGGAAAACAGGAATAAAGGGGATGTAAATAGCGTGCTGAAAATTTCCAGCCAAGACAGGACTCGCAGCGATGGTTTCAAGTTGGAAAAATTCAGATTCAGGAAGGATATAGGAAAGCACTGGTTTGGTAATAGAGTTTTTGGATGAGTGGAACAAACTCCCGAGTACAGTTATTGAGGCTAAAACGTTGTGTAGTTTTAAAAATAGGTTAGATAAATACATGAGCGGGTGTGGGTAGGTGCGAGTTGGACCTGACTAGCTTGTGCTACTAGGACTGATGCCTTGCTCCTTCCTTAAGTGGAAGTGACCCGACTAGGCGAGTCATTGGGCTAATCTGGGGGGGGGGCATGGACCTGCTTTGCATGGGTCAGTAGGCCTGCTGCATTGTTCCTTCTTTCTTATGTTCTAAGTCCCCTACCGGCTTAAGCCAATACGTTAGTGTTTGTTAGGTTGTTCATCATGGAGCAAGATAACACACACGGGCCAGAGCTGATACTCAACCCCTGCAACCACTCCTAGGTGATTATACACGTAGACAACACAATTGAGATTGAAGACTCAGATGAGTCAAAGGGATGTTAGGAAGTATTTCTTCAGTCACAGAATTGCTAGGACGTGGAATAGTCTGGCAAGTGATGTAGTGGAAGCAGGAACCATACATAGTTTTAAGATGAAGTATGATAAAGCTCATGGAGTAGGGAGAGAGAGGACCTAGTAGCACTCAGTGAAGAGGCGGGGCCAGGAGCTGAGTATCGGACCCTGAAACCACAATTAGGTGAGTACACACACACACACACACCATTTAGTGAGGTACCACCTCTGGAACTGACTGGGAACCTCATCCTCAGAGAAGAGAATAATCGTATACTTCTGGACGACTCAAGATTCTACCCAGAGCTGTTTGGACGACTCAAGATTCTACCCGAGCTGTTTGGACGACTCAAGATTCTACCCAGAGCTGTTTGGACGACTCAAGATTCTACCGAGCTGTTTGGACGACTCAAGATTCTACCCAGAGCTGTTTGGACGACTCAAGATTCTACCCAGAGCTGTTTGGACGACTCAAGATTCTACCCAGAGCTGTTTGGACGATCAAGATTCTACCCAGAGCTGTTTGGACGACTCAAGATTCTACCCAGAGCTGTTTGGACGACTCAAGATTCTACCCCGAGCTGTTTAAGTATTTTTTCTTCTACCATCCCCAATGGAAATAAGTCACTCTGTCTGACTTTTTTGGTTACCCAGGTTCTCTACACATATGCTGCTATGTATGTTAATTCTATGTAACTGTATTTGTGTATACCTGAATAAACTTACTTATTACTTATTTACTTTTCTTATGCTAAGGCGAACTTCATTTAACAATAAAATACATTATGAAAGACGCAGTGGAAAGGAGAACAACATAAATGTGTGTGCAATATTACGTTAATTATCAATCATTATTTAGTACATATTCAATTCAAATTCAAAGTTATTCTCTATAAGGATTACAATGCTGAGTTTACAGAAATTTGGTTATTGTTTGGTTTACATGTAGTAAAATTGTGATTACAGAGTGTACCACTAGAACGCTTAGCATGACTAGGCATTTGGGGCATACTTAGTTTTATTCTTAATTGTAAAATATTACAAATTATGAACGAGGACTAACCTGATGAAACGGTGTACATAATACATTATCCAGTTGACCTTTCCAACTCGGCTGTACTCATTGAGGATTCCATAAGTCAGTAAGAGGCCACCAATGAAGAAGAAGGTATCCACACTGAAAGTCGCGTTATCAGCAGTCTCATCTATCACGTCGTCTGTTACCTGTCAACAGAAGAAATTAATGACAGGGATAAGCAGGGAAGGGTTCAGGTGAGTAGGGAAGCCACCGTCCTTCCTGGGTTACTCCGCAAGAAATAGGGATTGAAAAGAAAAATTTGCCTAGTATGGGACAGTAGACTTGTTGCAGTGATTCTCTATGTTCTCATGAATAGTCAGTGCATATATTCTGAGTAATACACAACACTCACTGTATATTGATTATTATGAAAATCTACAGCACTACTTACAGACTGAATACCGAGAATGTTGGAAGAGGAGAAGAATAACATGAAGAAGCTATGGCCCCACACTACCCAGGTCATAGATAACACTCTGTGGCAAACAATGTCAGATTAGAATATTGTAAAATATTACAATATATGAAATAATATATGTATAAAAGACACATATAATCACTCAATACTCTTAAAATATTATTTTTTAAAAAGGTGAATTAGTAAGGAGGCCTAGTTTCTTCTCTACGAGCCCCGTGAGGGCAGGGAATGGGGCTAGGCCTGGGGACAGTTGGTCCCAGAAGATGAGGAGGTACTTGTACCTCCTCCCATGGGAGACATAGGTCTCAGACACTCCCAAGACAGGGAGCGAAGTCCGGGGTCACCATCTGGAAAAGACCCGGATCGGGAGAGTACCGGTGAATCAAAAAGAATGGAGAGCCTTTTGCGGGTCATCATATGACTAAGACCCCGCGTCAGGAAACACTTATCCTGTTTCTGACAAATCTTATCTAACCTAACCTGGAGAGGCTCGTCTGATGACCAAAAGCTCTAAATGGTGGACTAAGACAACGGTCAAGAAAACAATTGTCTTGTTCGCTGATGAAAGTATCAGGTCAGCTTGTGAATCTGGCCAGTCAGGAAACGCTCGTTTCCTGATGGAAAAAATCCATCACGCCTTTAGTATTCTTACCTCATTCCGTGAATGCAGGAAATCACCTCAGGGTTTTCTTTCTTATTTATGGTAAAAATTTCTTCAAGTTGCTATAGGCGGAGAAGACCAACAGGAACCGCAGGGGACCTGGAATGTCAGAGTAAATACAGTTTTAATTACTTAAATTCACACTTCATGTTATGTGAGCTATCAAAAAAATACAATTATTCTGTGGGCTATCATCAAAATCATATCATTATTCTAATCACAGAGAAGTGCTGAAATCACTGAAGCAGGGGAGGAAACAGTTTAATTCAACTGGCTTGTTTCATGCATTTTAAAGCCTATCAACTAGGCTGGGAGTCTTTAAGGTTTAAAAAATACTTGAATCCCTAACAGACAAATTAAATGTATAATATATAATATAAATATATATATATTATATATATATATATATATATATATATATATATATATATATATATATATATATATATATATATAACACACACACACACACAAGGAATCGTTCAAGACACTGTACACTGTGTATGTCAGGCCCATACTGGAGTATGCAGCACCAGTCTGGAACCCACACCTGGTCAAGCACGTCAAGAAGTTAGAGAAAGTACAAAGGTTTGCAACAAGGCTAGTCCCAGAGCTCAAGGAATGTCGTACGAGGAAAGGTTTAAGGGAAATCGGACTGACGACACTGGAGGACAGAAGGGTCAGGGGAGACATGATAACGACATACAAGATACTGCGGGGGAATAGACAAGGTGGACAGAGACAGGATGTTTCAGAGAGGGGACACAGGGACAAGGGGTCACAACTGGAAGCTGAAGACTCAGACGAGTCACAGGGACGTTAGGAAGTATTTCTTCAGTCAAGTTGTCAGCAAGTGGAATAGCCTAGCAAGTGAAGTAGTGGAGGCAGGAACCATACATAGTTTTAAGAAGAGGTATGACAAAGCTCAGGAAGCAGAAGAGAGAGAGGACCCAGTAGCGATCAGTGAAGAGGCGGGGCCAGGAGCTGAGCCTCGACTCCTGCAACCACAATTAGGTGAGTACAATTAGGTGAGTACACACAACACACACGCTGAGACATCTCTCAGCAAGGATTTATCTAGGTAGTTTCAGTACAAAAGAACATAAGAAAGGAGGAACACTGCAGCAGGCCTGTTGGCCCATACTAGGCAGGTCCTTCACAGATCCATCCCACTAATACAATATTTGCCCTCATAAGAACATAAGAATAAGGAACACTGCAACAGGTCTACTGGTCCATGCGAGGCAGCTCCAATTCTGTGTTAGGTAAGACACATATGCAACAGTTAGTATCTTTATTTCGAACGTTTCGCCTACACAGTAGGCTTCTTCAGTCGAGTACAGAAAAGTTGATAGAAGCAGAAGATACTTGAAGACGATGTAATCAGTCCATCACCCTTAAAGTTTTTGAGGTGGTCAGTCCCTCAGTCTGGAGAAGAGCATTGTTTCCATAGTCTGAAACAATAACGGAACAATGCTCTTCTCCAGACTGAGGGACTGACCACCTTAAAACTTTAAGGGTGATGGACTGATTACATCGTCTTCAAGTATCTTCTGCTTCTATCAACTTTTCTGTACTCGACTGAAGAAGCCTACTGTGTAGGCGAAACGTTTCGAAATAAAGATACCTAACTGTTGCATATGTGTCTTACCTAACAATCTGTCGGTATTTTATACCATTTTAATGTTCAGCTCCAATTCTCCCCACCGGCTTAAGCCAATGCCTTGACCTAGTGTGGTCAGACACGTCACTTAAGGAAATAGCACAATAACCTTTCCAACACCAAACAAGAATACTTTAATCTCTAAAATAGGGATTAAATTAATCTCTCAGGTTAGTTAAGTCTCGTCAGGAAACAAAACAAGCGGTTTCCTGACGTGGGACTTAATGAGGACCCGCCACTTGAGCTCTGACCAAGGCCTTCCACTGGCTTACCCATCCACTCCTTTAAAAATTAAGAAATGCTGACTAATCCTTTTCACTCGTTCCCCCCGTGTTCACCTAGCAGTAAATGGGCACCTTATGGATCTTATAAAAACCAAGTGGCCGAGTGGTTAACGCACTGTCCTGTGAGTATTAAGACTCACTCGCCATGGGTTCAAACCCCACCCTTTCCCTGATGTACCTGAGAGCTAGTAGTTAGCTCTCAGGTACATCGGGGTGCGAGCTTGAAGTACAGTGGGGTAGATAAGATTTTTCTGGGATTTTTAACCCTGGAGGGTTAGCCACCCAGGATAACCCAAGAAAGTCAGTGTGTCATCGAAGACTGTCTGTCTTATTTCCACTTTAGTCCTCAGTCTTGTCCCCCAGGATGCCACCCACACCAGTCGACTAACACCCAGATACCTACTTGCTACTAGGTGAACAGGACAACAGGTGTAAGGAAACGCGTCGAAGTGTTTCTACCCCTCCGGGAATCGAACCCGGGCCCTCCGTGTGCAAAGCGAGAGCTCTGCCAGCCCGGCCACAGTTTACACTAGTATTTACATAACGAACAGTTTCACATATAAAACTAAAATTAAAAACTCCAGATCCTACAGAGGAACTGGATATAAGGAAAGATGACTCCACTCTTTCCACATCATCTCAGTAATTATCTCCTCCACTGCTTCCTGTCCTCCATGTGGGATTAAAGGATTTTTTTTCTTATTTTTGTACTAATTTATTATTTTTATTAAAGTTATTAACTATATTCTTTATTTGAGTTTCAATACACATGTACTTTTTCTTTCAATGTTATAATTTACATTGTTAAGTGGTTGTATTTGGGGTCTGGAACGGACTACGCCTATAACGTACGAAAGCTACAACGAACGAGGTTCTAGAATCAATTAGATTCGTTATAGCATACCCTGATGTATACCTTAGAGAGAACTCGGCTTCGAAATGACCAGAAGCATGATAATTTGTAGGTTCAAGTGTCAGACACAGATTTCAGACTTTTGTAAATATGAGAAACTGAGTTACTGTGGTGAAGATGGGACACCAGGAACGAAACTCAATGACTAACTAGTAACACTCAACTGACCTTTCCGATAATGTTGCTTATTGTAGAAGTTAATGGAGATGTCACAGACCGCACCAGCCAACAGGAGAATACCGAATATACACAGTATAACACTGGAGAGGGAAACAGAGGGTAATTAAGTGCACATATACCTATGGTAACCTTCCTATGGTGTATATACCTAGTTGGATGAATCTTATTGTAGCCACCTGGCCCAGTGGTTAACACGTCGGTCTTGAGTTTTATAACTCTGACCGCGGGTTCTAACCCTGTTGTTAGGTAAGACACATATGCAACAGTTAGACAACTTTATTCCGAAACGTTTCGCCTACACAGTAGGCTTCTTCAGTCGAATACAGAAAGTAGGCAGGAACAGTAGAGATGTGGTATGGTTTACACACACACACACACACACACCCATGTATATATAAACATCGCTTATTTATGACATTTAATTCCTCTCCAATGATTACCTGAGAAAAATTTCCCGTACAACAAAGGCAAATTATTTGCCTCCCCATGGGTATATTTCCATGGGTGCCCATACACCCATTAACGTTAAACTGAGAAAGTTACAAGTCAGTTTAACATTGTACTTGTCAATCCTTTTTTTAAATCTTTCGCTTCATATTTCTATTGAACCTGTGACCGTCGCTTAAACTAGAGCTGAGGTATTGTATGAATTAATTGTGTACATATATGTATTGTATGCATGAATGCCGTAAATACATGCTTTCTCTCTTGAATTGTATGTGAAACAAGGTAATTAAGATATTTTAATGTTAAATTGACTTACAAGATAATGATGCGACTTGCATGACTTACACACCAACATGACTAACATGTTAAATTAGACACATGTGCAACTCTTTAGGTATCTTTATTGAGGAAACGTTTCGCACACAGGGCTTCATTCAGTCCATACAAAGGATGAACTTGAAGAACAGGAGGAGAATGAGGTAATCAGTCCCTCAACGTTGTGGACTGACCACATCGACTCGAGGTTGAGGGACTGATTACCTCATTCTCCTCCTGTTCTTCAAGTTTATCCTTTGTATGGACTGATGAAGCCACTGTGTAGCGAAACGTTTCCTCAATAAAGATACCCAAGAGTTGCACATGTGTCTAATTTAACAACGTGTCGGTTCTTTGAACCATTCATCTACAATGACTAACATGACAGCGTAACTCATGGCAGCATGACTAACGTAACGCATGACTAACGTAACAGCATGACTAACGTAACAGCATGACTAACGTAACAGCATGACTTACATAACAGCAATGTCAGCAGCATTCAGGTCAACGGTATCTTGCATTGTCTGGCAGTCTACTACGCGTGCCTTCTTCTCAAAGGTACGAAGTCTGTCGTCCAGAGTCACCTGGGGAAGACAACACTAGGTAAGGGGAAATAGGGACTACTTAGGACATAATAGGTAAAACTATGGAATTAATTAACGTAATGGGGTAATAGTCTGGCACCACTGATAAGATATTAACACTAATAGGGACATAAAAGACTGGTTAAGATTGGTCAGGAAACAGGACAAGTGTTGATAAATTAGACACGTTTGCAACTCTTGGGTCTCTTTATTGAGGAAACGTTTCGCACCACAGTGGCTTATCAGTCCATACAAAGGAGAATCGTGAAGAACAGGAGGAGAATGAGGTAATCAGTCCCTCAACCTTGAGTCGATGTGGTCAGTCCATCAATCATGAATAGAATACAGCATACGTGCCGAGAAGTGCTTATATACCGTAGGCAGGAGAGTTGCAGCCACTTCTCCGCTCATATGCTCTATTCTATTCAAGATTGATGGACTGACCACATCGACTCAAGGTTGAGGGAATGATTACCTCATTCTCCTCCTGTTCTTCACGATTCTCCTTTGTATGGACTGATGAAGCCACTGTGTGGCGAAACGTTTCCTCAATAAAGATACCCAAGAGTTGCACATGTGTCTAATTTAACGAGTCGGTTCTCTGAACCATTCAACATTGTAATCCTTATAGAGAATAAACTTTGAATTTGAATTCATCTACAAAGACAAGTTTTGCCTGACGCGGGTACAAGTCATGTGATGACCCGCAAATGGAGGTTTTGGTTATCTTTTGGCCTTCCACTGGCCAGAAAAATAAGGTTTTTAAGTATAACCATGTATAACTTTGGGTGCCCGGTGGCCTGGTGGCTAAAGCTCCCGCTTCACACACGGAGGGCCCGGGTTCGATTCCCGGCGGGTGGAAACATTTCGACACGTTCCTTACACCTGTTGTCCTGTTCACCTAGCAGCAAATAGGTACCGGGTGTTAGTCGACTGGTGTGGGTCGCATCCTGGGGGACAAGATTAAGGACCCCAATGGAAATAAGTTAGACAGTCCTCGATGACGCACTGACTTTCGTGGGTTATCCTGGGTGGCTAACCCTCCGAGGTTAAAAATCCGAACGAAATCTTATCTTATCTTATCTTAGAAAACCACTTGGGAAATAATATGGGAAAACTAAGGAATTAATACACATTAGTTATTGAATAATCCAAAACCATAAGGCAAAAAAAACATTTGTATGAAAATAACAGCGAACATCTAAGGATTTAATTTCCATTATGAAGCTTGTCTTACTTGTCGATAAGAAAACTGTAATGGAAATGAATCTGTATGCTGAAGAGGACCCCAGCTGGGAAGTTTTTAAGTTTTAAGTTCTTAACAAGAACAAGACAGAATAGGTACGACCCTCACTGGGGTGAGCGAGGAAGGGGGATGTGGAAGAATAGATGGAGAGGAAGATTTGTAAGTGGAAGGGATAGTGCCAGTCGCTAGGCAGATAGAGGCTCAGGAGTTCTGGACGCGGAAAGTAAAAAACGTGCAAGTCCTTTGAAGTAGAAATGATCCCAGATAAATAGTGTGAACGTAAGTGGACGTAAGAGTGGAACAGGGGTTCCCAATGATGACTTTTACCAATTCAACAAGAAGTCTTGGACGTATGTATGGTGGTGAAAAAAAAGTCGAAATATACAGCCTCATTTTCATTACTTATTTTCTCGTCTACATATGGGATATCCTTCAACAGTCACTATTATGAATAAAGAGAAGGGACGATAACTGGAACCGTGGTCTTCGTATGTAGCAAATCCAACGCTGTACTACTGAGCCACGAAGCTTACAAGAGGATGATTTTATAGAAAACAGTTCTGTAATTTGTCTGGATTATAGGCACCAACTGTAACAATATTGTTTCATTCCACAGCCACAGAAGCTTTCAAGCTGGATAAACAGTCGTTCATTACGACCTATCTTGAGACTACTCAGTATTAACCTTACTAACGATGGAGTATACGGCGTATGTTAATTTGTAAATTGTGAGTTCATTACCTTTGTAAATTGTGAGTTCATTACCTCTAACTTGCTCAGCTATCAAAACTTTGGAGTCCAGTCCCTGGACCAATTATGTACCTCTGTAATCTTTTGACTACCGCCCACAGGATGGGTATGGGGTGCATAATAAACATATTAAACTAACTGTTATCAGTGGCCCTATAAACCCCAACAACAATAACGATGGAGGAACACACTTACCTTGAGGTCGTCAGCGGTGCAGGAGGAGGGCATGCAGGTGCCGTAAAAAGACAATGGAAAAGAAGGCAAGACAAGTTTTATACGTGGTTGCACACTCGGGCTGACCTCATCTGTGTTGTTCTGCAGGTCACTGAGGGGGGAAAAATCTGATATATGGACGATGCTTAAACCTGTTCCGAACCAGTGTTAAGTCAGGAGTGTGAATGAAAACGGAGGAAAGCCAGAAGTCAGGTCAGGTCACTAAGAGAGATTAGACAGCAAAAGCCTAGTCATGTCTACTTTGAGGATGGGAACGTTAGACAGCGTACTAGGAGAGGCAAACAACTGAAAGTGGGGACTAAAATTTATGCTAGACAGGTTGTGTATAATGACCCATTTAACGAGAAAGTGTCTGGAAAAGAAATTATTAACTTTAAAAGAAGATCTCTATGGAATAGCTAAATTCACTAAACTTATTGTCCAGTTGGAATGAACACCTTAAAAATTTCGCTGTCTACAGAATGTATTCTAAGTACTGGATTGAAAAAGCCATTGGTGTTGCACATGTTTAATTATATAACACCGGCCGTCTCCACTGAATTTGGGTGACCCGATGCACTTTCAACATCACTCACTCCATCACTGTCTTGCCAGAGGCACCCCGATACTGGAGTTCAGATGCCCCATTCAAATTCCAATATCTCCAGCTCTCTTTCAGAGTGCACACACTGTACTTAACACCTCCAGACTCAAGTCCGGCTAAATGGTTTCCCCGAATCCCTTCATAAGTTACTTTGCTTACACTCCAACAGCACGTCAAGTCGTAAAAACTACTTGCCTCCACTATTATCTAACACGCTCACACACGCTTTGTTGGAAGTCCAAGACCCTCGCAAACAAAACCTCATTTACCCACCTCCTTTCAACCTTAGGACGACTCCTACCCCGGGTTTGATTGGTGTCAAGGGGTACGGGAGTTATTTCTTGAGTAGCTTTAGGTAGATGTCGTTTTGATAAGGACCTGCATCGTATGGGCCAGTAGGCCTTCTGCAGTGTTCCTACTTTCTTATGTTCTTATGTTCCCTTCACTGCAGATTTATACGCTCTCTAAGTCATCCTATTTTGCTCCATCCTCTCCAAATGTCCAAACTGCCTCTACAACCCCTCCTCAGTTTTCTGAACAATACTTTCAGAAACCCCGCACCTCTTCTTACTCTCCGAACTATGAATTCCCTTTATAATATTTACATCACACATTGCCCTCAGATGCGATATTTCCACTGCTTCCAGCCTCCTCCTCGCTGCAACATTCACAACCCATGCTTCACACCCATATAAGAAGTGTTGGTACCACTATAGTCTCATACAATCCCATGTGTGACCTTACTAAATTTTACCACATGTTTCTTGTGTTTCTCTCTATTAACTTATCCATACAGTTTTCCTTCTCATAATTGACCTTATCAGCAAATTTTAATCCTATTAATCACTGAAATTAAAGAAATTTATTACAAACCTAAAATTATCTTAAATTCAGTAAAAAAGCTGGGTAACTCCCAGTGGTAGTCACTACATTTCCAGTCTTACCTTCACAAAGCCTTGTAGACGTCCTTACACTTTTCCCCCAAAGTCTTACAGCCGGCTTACTCAACAACCGTCCCAAAGCCTAATAGTGGCAGGCCAAACTACTTCCCAAAGCCATATAATCGCGGCGCAGCTACGTTTACAAAGCCTAAAACTGGCTGCAGTTATCTTCCCTGTGCCTACTACTTTCATTCCAATGACTTCCAACTGCTGCTCCTACCTTCCCCAGGTCTCATAGCACAAAAGCGCTGTTGGCTCACCTAAAGGAGATGGCGCAGTACTTCCCGTCGAAGGTGGTGTTGATCATGTTCTTGATAAACTCATGAACATGCAGCCCAATGCATTCCTCCATCATTCCCCATGGCTGGAAGTTTCCATTCAGTATTCCATCTGGTACCTTGCCCCAAGAGTCTGGCACTATGGGTAGACACTAAGGTTACAGCAGCTGGCTTATTAATCACAAGGACAATTATTATTATTATAATCAAAAAGAAGCGCTAAGCCACAAGGACTATACAGCGAATGCAGGCATGAAGGAAGCCCCCCCCCGAGGGCATCAGGTGGCCAAAAGGGAGATGGATGAGTAATGAGGTTATGGAGTACAGCGCAGTGGATGGGAGAAAGGAAAAGGGCAAGCAAGAGACTGAACTAGAAAGGGCTGAGGGGAGTGCGAAAAGTATCATCAGAGTTTGTGGAGTAAATCAGTCGTTGTCAAGAAGTCAATGAGAGAGTCAGGAGTAAAGGAGGGTCCATCAGCAAGAAGGGAAGGGTAAAGAGAGAGTAGTAGAACGAAGACGACGTTGGAGGTAAATTCTGCGTGCTCGTTGATGAGTGGGCAGTCTAACAGAATGTGGCTAATCGATACTGGAACTTGACACTGCTCACAAGAGGAACAGGGTGCCTCTCCATGAGATACCCATGAGTAACGAGTGTGACCAATGCGAAGGCCGGAGAGAGTGGTCTCCTACCTCGGCAACGATGACAAGAAGACGGGCCAATAACCTATGCTCGTTTAATAGAATGAATTTTGTTTACTCGAGCAGAGTTGAACCAACTTTGTTGCCAATGGGTGCAAAGTTGGTATCTATTGCAGCAAAAATAGTCCAGAAATGGAACACCTCGATAGAAATTGGTAGGTCATGTACTGCTGACCGCGCAGCAGTGTCTGCCTGTTCATTGCCTGTACGACGACATGACCAGGGGAACCCAACAAAAAGCAATATCTTTATGTTTGGTAGGATTACGGCATATTCCAAAGTTGGATACGGAGATCTAGGGATGAGATGTATCAATTTTCGTATTGCCCTGTAGAGCACTAAGGGAGTCTGAGACTACTACCAAAGATGACACAGGCATATGCATTGCATACGAAAAAGTGCTGCAAGAATGGCAATACAGTTCAGCATAAAATGCTGCTGACGATAGTAAATGTCCCCGCACACGCTGTCCGAAACACTGCTGCGAATCCACGCCGTCCGAAGACTTAGAGCCATCTGTGTACACAGCGTTGGCATGAGAATGGAGTGAAGTGATCAATAAAAAGAGAGCGGAAGCCGACCCGTAGGCAGTTGATCTTTCGAGCAAGTGATGAGAAGAACAGACCCGAACAGCTGGAACTTCCCAGGGGTAGGGAAAAGTGAGATGCTACATGAACATATAAAAGGTGGTAACTGAAGGGAAAGACAAGAGTGACATGTAGGGGAAGAAGAAAAGGGACGGGAGGCAAACAGGGGGCGGCGAACGAATAAGAATGTCTACTAATATCAGTGACCATTCAAATAAATGGACAGTATTGTGTAGATCGTGAGAGCTACATAGTACGTAGGCAATGCATCACGGCGATCAGACAAGGATGGAAACATTCGCTTCCTGAAGAGCACTCAACAGGGGAAGAGCGAAAAGCACCAAGGGGAAAACACAAACTAATCCTTGGTGATGGATAGAGTTAAGGCTAAGAGAGTAAAGCAGAGAGGCCGCAGAATAAACCTGTCACCATAATCGAGTTTTCGATAAAACGAAGTGCATGAATGTATGGCGAAGCAGAGTTCGAAACGATCAGCTCCCCAGAAAGATGAGCCAAGGTTTTAAGATGGTTTAGCCGGCTGTGACAAGTTTCTTCAGAGAGGTATGAGGTTTCTAGGATAACCGACGGTTCAAAAGAGAAGGCCTAAGAAACCAGACTGTATCACGTTCGGGGATACGGGAGCCATAGAGATACAAAGATGGAACGGAGGATAACAGAGCGTCCTAGTGAAATAATTTGGTGAGTTTTGGTACTTTGAAAATTTAAACCCATGCGTGGTGGCCCAAGTGAAACACGGTCGACCGCATTCTGGAGTAGAAACGCAATAAGATGAGTCCAGCGCCTGCACAAGCAATAGGCGAAGTCATCAAATAGAGTATGACCAAATATTGGGCGGAAGCACAGAGGCCAAATCATTTATAGCAAGGAGAAAAAGTGTTGTGCTTAGAACACATCACTGAGGGACACCTTCAGCTTGGACGAAGTCCGGGGAAAGAACATTATTGACTCAACACGGAAATGTCCAGTCAAGTTAAAGTTTCTTAAGAAGGATGGTAGAATTGCCTGCGAGCAAAGGAATTGGGCTGGGGGCCCCCCCCCCCCAAAAATTATACCTCCAAGTTGTGTCATATGCTTTCTCAAGGTCAAAAAATCATGGCAATAACCTGAGTATTATTCGCTAAGGCATTACGAACAAACGTACCAAGCGTAAGAACAGGGGGTCTATGGTAACACGACCCTTACGAAAGCCATATTGACTAGCGTAGAGTCTGTTGTGTATCTAAATGCCACATTAAATGTCGATATACGAGACGTTCCAATCACTTTGCACTTTGCAAACTGCACTAGTAAGAGCGATGGGGCGATAGTGGGAGGCATCATGTCCCATAGTACCCGGTTTGTGGAAAAGGGAGAACATTGTGCAAGATTTCCACACCTGGAAAGAACTCCCCTTGTGCCAATAAGATGAAGAGGTGTAAGAGACTACAAGGGCTACACGATTGTAAATGTTTGTAACATACGAATATATGAATGTCGTCAGAGGCAGGCCCAGCTGCCGATGATCGGCAAGCTGAGAGTGTTGCCTCCAGTTCTTGAAGTGTAAAAGCACATTAACTGTTCTTCTCTGAAGAAGAAAAGTCCAAGGGTACTAACTCTCTGGCAGACTTGAGGAAAGAAACGAAGGCATAGATGGAGCCCCTCGGAATACGACCATATGTGGAGCCAAGTTCAAATGGCGAACGTCGAGAGGGTTTGCTACCATCAACACCAGCGACCCGTAGAAACAGGAGCTGGGTCAGGAGAGTATTTACCACTCATTTCAGATAGGGGGGAAGACTGCACTATAGAAAAAAAAAGAAGCAGAGGTAATGTGGAAACATATTATTATTATTATAATCAAGGGGGAACGCTAAACCTGAGGATTATACAGAGCGCCTTGGGGGGGGATGTGAAGGCATACAGGCTATTCCGGGAACTGGAGCACAGATCCAATTCCCTAAATCAAGAGCCCCTCACCAACATCAAGGTACCTTCCATGAGGGGTTGAAACATAGTCTCGCCAACAAGTGCTTTAGCTTCACGATGACACGGCGAGCGATTCGCACACGTCTCTTAAAATCAAGAAGTCTCTCAGCGTTCTAATGTACCGGTACCGTGCCCCATGCAGCACGTTTTCAAACGTACAGCACGAGCCAACAAGCAGGAACCACCAAGGCAACGCACTTCGAGAATGCCTGACCTGAGGTTGGGGTTATAGAAATGAGAAGCAGCGGTATAAACCTGAGACGTCGAGAAGATGGTAGGAGCTCATCAATGGAGGATGAAGAAGGAACCTCACTAAAAGCAGTGAGGTGTGAGTAAAGATCCAATTTGTCCGACAAATTGCCAGCGAGGGCTACGAAAGGTGTGAAAGGAAGGAGAAGTAAGAATGATCGTAAATATGAGCGCCGGGGGGCAGTAAGTCTGGTAGAACAGACCAGTGAAGTCTAGTGCAGTTGAGGAGAGCAGACTGATAGATTTGAAGCAAGAGAGAGTATGAGAACGAGGATCAAAATTGGGGTGGGAGTACCCGAATTTAAAACAGTTGAGGGGGAGAGGCGAGAAAAGCATCCACTTAATGCCACGTGAGTCACAATGAGACCCCCCCAGAGGAAATGGTGGGCATTAAAATCACCAAGTAACAGAAGATGTGTGGTAAGGATGAAACAAGAAAGGCAAAGTCTGGATAGAAAATTGGTCGAGAAGGAGAGAGATTTAAAGAACATATGTAAACCACTTATTCAAGTGGATATCGGCTGCAGTGTAATGCAGCAAGGTATGGACAAATAGTTACAGTACGGAATATCTTTGCATAGAAGAAGGCACTTTCATTAAAGGTCCCATCTGAGAAAGGATCCGGAATAGGTTTGGAAAATAGCCGAGTGTATTGTTCTTTTAAGCATGTCACCAGACAGGGAAAACCTTAAGGCAAAACATCTGAAGCTCACCGACGATAACCCCTGAGGCCGCGATATTCCACTGTAAAAGGCCATGATTGCGATAAGAAAATATCATGAATCTGTAGGCAAAGCAGCCTACGGACTGAGGGGTTAGAAAAGTCAACGTGTGGTGGCATTGGAAGACGTTCAATTAGCAAAAAGAACGGAGCGTGCGAAGAATGGGGTTTGTGAAGATGGAGGAGAGTGAAGAGAAGGAACAGGAATGAATCAGTGTCCATTGAAGTTTAGTCTCTGGAATATAACTTAAAATGGCTTCAAGTGTTTCTGAATTCAAAAGATGTATGGAGACCAAATTGAGGAGATAGAAGAGGAGGGTGAGTAAAGTTGGGACAGTAATGGACTGTACCAAAGTAGAGGGGGAGGGAAGAGTGTAAGGAATGGAGATGAAGTGTGGGGGGGGGGGACAGAAGAGGCAGAAACCTGTGAGGTGGCAGAAGAGGAGAAACTTGGGAGGGGACAGGGGTGGAAGGCCATAGTACGAGAGGAAGGGTGAATCTCCCACTTGTAATAGCAGCCAGAGAGGAGGGAATAACTAGGTACAGAGACTGAAGTAAAGTGTGGAGGTGGAAGAAGGGAAGGAAGGGGCAAAGAAATTTGAGAGCAATGTGGATTTTTTGGACTTCTGAGTAGAGGGGCGATTTGGTTATTAGGTGTCCCGTACGAGGTCTTGTCGAACTGGGGCTTGTGAGGAAGGACGCGAAGATGCGAGAACAGACTGAGTAGTAGTCGTACGTCAGAGCCAAGTGACAGAAAAGGATTAGATGCCGTAGTGGCCTATGGGAGGGGTAACAACAAAGGAGGGCTGCAGAAGATTGGTATCCCAGAAGTGGGGGATGTTTTGGAAAAACGAGAAAAAAGAACACGGGGTATGTCATCTCCTTGGAGCTGAGATTAGTAACTGCCAAAGCATAAGGGAGACCTTCTGCCTCTTGAGGCAAACGATTTCACGTTCATTTAAGTAGACCTGGCAACATCGGAGAACGAAGGGTGAGCTTCATTACAATTAAGGCAAGATGGAGGTTGACTGCAAGATGATTAGAATGGTCGTCGCACCACAGACGGGCATTCGCATAGATCCTGCAATATTTCGCTGGTGACCAAAACGGCCAGCAATTTCTACATTGTTGCGGTGTAGGTATCACCTTTCTAACTTGTTACCGATGTCCCTCGACATATACAAGGACGGGAGTTCTTTCCTCGGCTGTCAAAAGTTATACGAGCCACATTGCAATGGTAAAACGTCTTCCGCCCCCGGGCAGTAATGGACATAAGTGTCTACTTGAGGATGGGAGATCCAGGATTCCCAGCTTTCAAAATGTCATTGCCACAGACTGGAAATTCTGATGACTAATGTGTATGGTGCAGAATGACGTACACTAAACAAAATTGAGAGAAAGATGTTTTCAATAGTGTATGAGTAGTTATCGATATTCGAAAGGAGAGAAAGTTCATGAGCTGGTAGCATCTGGACAGTGGACAATGCGCATAAGTACGCTCGAGACATGAAATGAAATATCTCTACCAACATGATGGCCTGAGCCTTGCCAATACTATGGTCAAAAGGTAGGCAGAAGAAGTCGGTCTTAAAGTAAAGAATTTAGTCCGATTAGTTTGGTCCGAAACTGAGCGTGGAGAGGGAGTGCTTGACGTGTTCGGTCTTTTCCGAGTAGAATGGGAAGTAACGAAGGAACATCATCAGGAGATTGACGTTGGCGTTTAGAGTGGACTGGAGTTGGTCCGCGTGAAATGGGCGGGGCGTGTTCGAAAATTTGCGTACGAAGAGGGAGAAGCCGGAAGCATAGTCAAAGGAGAGGCGGAGTTTCAGACAAATCGAAGGAGTCAGTTAAGCCCCGGTACCTGAAGTGGGTGAGGAAACAAGCACCAGCAAGAGGTACAGGGTCCATCAGGAGTGTCTGAAAGTGTCTAAACAACAAGTCAGGGGGTCAGATGGGGTGCGTATCAGATGGGGCCCGGGGGTAGTGGTTCATGACTAGGGTCTGAGCCATGGTTAGGTTACTCCTTTGCTTTTGTTTTTAAGAAAAAAAAAGAAAGAAAAAGAAAATAAAAAAATAAAAAAAAGAATAAAAAAGGGGGAAGCGGGGAGGAATATTCCCAGGAGAATGAAAGGGCCCAGAAATCTCCCTCCGCGCCCAAGAGGACCTCAACACCGCAAGTAAGAGCAGATGCAGCAATGGAAACCCGTGCCATACCTAGCCTTCATGCCAGTAAACCAGCAATCCCGGATAGCAACCTCACATCTGCCGAGCTAACCTCAATTGACAAAAGAGAGGCGGCCGGATATCTCCAAAAAGCATACCTCCTTTGCCACCACCCCCGGAATCCGAAAGTGGCTTCCAGAGATACACCGTCACCCGTGCCAAAAGACACCCAAAGCTACTCCGGGATACCGGAGAGGGATCGGGACATCCCCAGGGCAATTCCAGATTCCACGGCAAACTACGCCCCTTCGCCAAGAACCGTCAACGGATGATGGACCCCAGTTCCTTTCCCTACCTAGAACTAGCGCCCTGTCGGAGAAATCCAAATGCCAAAAAGAGGAAGGGCGAAAAGGGAGGGGGAGAGGAAGGAGGGTAGGAATGGGAAAAAGGGGAGGATGGGTAGGATAGGATAGGGGGGGGAAGAATGGGGGGTAATTAGGTTCGGTCTAATGATGAAGACGTTATTTCGTCAGGGCTAATTCCACAGACCAGAGCCTCTTCACCACGCCAAGGAGCCCCCCTTGAAGAGGATCACAAGGACAAAATTATTACAAGGTACAAAATTATTATTTTGTATATTAACCTCAAAAATATATCTTTAAATGTATAACAGAAAATTTTCGAAAGAACTTAACTGAATTCATGCTAATTGACCAATTTTACCTAATTGGCACAATATATGTGCTCTAGCATCAGGATTATCTACCTCTGACAAATTAAACACTGGATCACGACTCACACAGGAGTGGCCAGTAGTGTCCCTTGAGTAAGACGAGGTTGAAAATCACTGAGTTGGTGAGGGTCTTGTAGACAGAATTCACGTCGTTGCGACAAGCCTCGTTCTTGACGATGTCTGGGTTGGTAGATGGTAGGTACATCCACACCCAGCTGTCCAAACCTCTGTGCAATAAACAATAAGGAAATGGGCAAATAAGAAAATTTGAGGCCCCCATGGTCTGGTGGCTAAAGCTCTCGCTTCACACGGCGAGCGTCCGGGTTCAATTCCAGGCTAAGGTAGAAATATTGGGCGTGTTTCTTTACACCGGTTGTCTATGTTCACCCATCAGTAAAATGGGTACCTGGGTGTTAGTGGACTGGTGTGGGTCGCATCCTGGGTGTTAGTGGACTGGTGTCTCTCGCATCCTGGGACAAAACTGACCTAATTTGCGGGAATTACTCTGCGTAACAAGGGGCTTTCTATATAGTAGTATGTCATTGATGTCAGCTATGGTCTGTATACCTTGTACTTGTAGAAATAAAGATATTACGTTAAAAGGCGAGAAGACATTCAAGGTCAGTTTAAGTAACGTCTTTTATGAAGATTTAAGCACTTGACACTGTACTAAGTAAGGCAACGTATAAAACTTAAAATTTTATTATGTTAAGAACAAGATATCTTCTAGATCTTGGAAGTGTTTGGTTAGAGCACCAGAATACAGATAGAATGGCCATGATTTCTGACACGAGAGAAAAAAGCATTGCTAATAGTTGAATGGGACACACATACAACATTTTGGGCTCTTTCCAAACGTTTCGCCTGCACAGAAGGCTTATCAGTCAAATATAGAACTAATATACTGGATACAGCTGAAGTGTGTTTCAGGTGTTCAACTGTTTTCAGTATATTACCTCTACCATGGACTGAAGAAGCCTGCTGTACTGACGAGACGTTTCGGAAACACTGATACCAAGGTCTTGTAAGAGAGTCTTATTCACCTAATTGCCGATATTATATTCCATTAATATTAGCGTTGTTAGCGTCAAACAAGCGCTTCTGTTTTCTTTAATTCATCAAAAAGAGAACGGGCAAATTCGTCGATGAACCGAGACAAAAACAGGAACTGGACAAGACAGACACTAGAAGCATCAGTGTCTGGGAGACGAGTAATAGTTATGATTTGTTCGGATTTCTAACCCGGTGGGTTAGCCACCCAGGATAACCCTTTCGT